GCGCGCTTCATCACGATGCACTGAACTTGCACATGCTGCCGTAATTCCGAAAGAAGTAAATATGAGAAACATTAGCAGTCTGCTCCGTAGCATCATCATTGCAAAATAAACCATCCAAAAAACCATTCCCGTAAGATGCACTGTACTGGTGGTATAACAGCAACCTGAACTTGGATCTGAGGTTGGCCGATATGTAAGTCAGCTTCGGAACTAAAGGTCGGTATAATTACCTTAAATTTTACCTGCTTGACTTTCATAAATACAAAGCCGGACATATTTGGTTCAACAAACGTGGCCCTGGCGTAATACCAGATTGTTCAATGCGAAATCAATTACCTTTTCTCTTTGCTCTGCTTTTCTGCTTTCGTCAAATAGTCCCATTTTTTCAATTCTTTCTTCTTCATCATGACCAGCAGCAGATCGACTTTTTGCTACAAAAGCAAGTCTCAGGAGCTAAGATTACTCTACCAGAAATGGTCAAGCGGAAGAAAAGGAGGCGGTGGATGGTTACCTTGAAGAACGACTGGGTTGGTTCGATCGGATGCAACAGGCCTTTTATTATCAAACTATAATTCTTTGAATGAACATTGTAAGCAACGACTTCAACGGCGCTGAAAAGAAAAAAGATGCAACAACGGACTGTTGTAATACATAAAACTCACTTTGTACATTCTCTATCAACAAGCGAAATGCAAAATTCTGCGCCGACGACGGCAGGAAGTAGTGTAAAAAGCCACCACTGGGGTGCTAGATTACGCGGTGAGGCAAAAAACAGCCACAGGAATGCCGCTAAATTTATCACTAAAGTGCTAAAATCTAATAAGCTGATGCAAAATGAGAGAGGGCAGCAGTGGCCTGGTTGCGAGATGTCAACTCACGAATAAGCAGTCCATTTTAGAAATCACTAAAGCCAACAATACAGTGACCTGTGTTTCAGGTTTTGCATGCACTGTAAGGCAGCAGCAGTAAACGTAGTAGACATATGAATAAAACTAAGTCAGGAGAAAAAATCAACAGGTCTCACAGCGTGCCGCCCCGTGCTTGATGCATTCTATCGTGCGCTTTTCTAAT